GGTCATCAAAAGATGGTGGTGTGCAAGAGAAGGGTCAGGAATATGGAGGTGGCTGGCCATGGGGCTGAGGCTATCGAGGATATTGGTTACAGGGAGGTCATAGGGGTCATAGGGAGATTGTAGTGAGAAAAATAAAGTTTGGGGCAGCGGAGGAGATTGACTATAGTGTGTTGGCCATATGGAAGGTTGACTGTAAGATGAGGTCGTCAAGAGGAGATGGTGTGCACCAAGAGGATGGTGGTGGCCATGGGATATTTTGTTCATATGGTGATGGTCATAGCAGGACACTGGTGGCCTTGGCATGGATTGGCAGCTACAGGGTGGTGGCCACGGCAAAAACTGGCCATAATGTGGTGGTAGTGACCAATGGGATGTTGGTGCCATGGGGCAGCGATGGCTGCAGACTGTTGGCATGAGAATCATGGTGATCATGAGGATAGCATTGGCCATATTAAGGTCTGGCCCAGTTCTGGTTGCCGTGGGATGAGCGTTGGTAGCCATGAGGACATTGGGGAAGGTTGAGTGTCACACGGTGGCCATCGGGAGAGCATTTGTTTGCCATTTGTCACCCCTGCAGGATGAGGACGGCAATACTCTGTCTGATGAGGACATCTCAGCCGAAGCTGACACCTTCATGTTCGAAGGTGAGGGAAGGCCACCTGCTGCCACCGGGGACCACGATGTCCCCCCCACTCACCCCATGCCCCCACAGGACACGACACGACGGCCAGCGGGTTGGCATGGCTGCTCTACAACCTGGCCCACCACCCGCACTACCAGGAGCAATGCCGTCAGGAGGTCCACCAGCTCCTCAAGGGCAGGGACGTGGAGGAGATCGAATGGTGAGAGATCCCCGCTGTCACTCCCCACCACGCAGCTCGGGGAATGCGGTGCTACCATCCTTTGCCCCCAGGGAGGATCTGTCCCTCCTGCCTTTCACCACCATGTGCATCAAGGAGAGCCTTCGCCTGCACCCACCCGTCACCGCCGTGTCGCGGCGCTGCACTGAGGACATTGCCATGCGTGATGGACGCGCCATCCCCAAGGGTACGGCTCATTTGGGGCACAATGTCCCCATCGTCCCCATCCCTCATTGTCTCTTGTCCATAATGCAGACATTTCTGTCCCACTAGGGGTCATCTGCATGATGAGCATCTACGGGACCCACCACAATCCAGATATCTGGCCTGAGCCTCAGGTAGAGCCACGTGTTCACCATGACGTGGCCATGGGACAGCAGGATGTCACCATGTCCGTGTCACCCACCGTCTGCTGGTGTCCTTGTCATCCCAGGTCTACAACCCAATGAGATTTAGCCCGGAGAACAGCCAGGGACGGTCCCCATTGGCCTTCATTCCTTTCTCTGCTGGGCCCAGGTAAGCTACGGTGGGGACACAGCGTCCCCATGTGCCACCCCCAGCACCCCAGGAGGTGGTTGTCACCTTGATGCCATCATGGGGACCACACATTTTGGTATGGAACAGTTGGCAGTAGTGTGGTGGTGCAGCCAACGGAATGGTGGTGGCCATGGGGACAGTCATGCCAAGAAGAGGTGGTTGTCACCCTGACCTTGTGGTCATCGTGGGAACCAGACATTCTGATGTGGCCATGGAAGAGTTGGCCATAGAGTGGTGATGTAGTCAAGGGAGGGGTGGTGGCCATGGGAGTATGCTGGGCCCAGGTAAGCCATGGAGGGGACACAAGTGTCCTCATGTGCCACCCCCAGCACCCCAGGAAGTAGATGCTACCTTGATGCCATCACGGGGACCACACATTTTGTTGTGGTCATGTTAAAAGTTGGCCAAAGTGTGGTGGTAGTGGCCAATGGAATGGTGGTGGCCATGGAGACTGCGATGCCAAGGAGGGGTGGTTGTCACCCTGGCTCTGTGGTCGCCATGGGAACTACATATTTTGGTGTGGCCATGGGAACATTTGGCCGTATAGTGGTGGTATGGCCAATGCAGTGACGGTGGCCATTGGACCGGTTGGCCATAGGGTGGTGGCAGTGACCAATGGAATGGTGTTGGTCATCAGGACAGTGATGCCATGGCAGGTGGTTGTCACCCTGACTCTGTGGTTGTCATGGTGACCACACAGTTTGGCATGGCCGTGGGGAATGTTGGCTATAAGTTGGTGGTGTGGGCAAATTGGATTTTGGCCATGGGGAATATTGGCTATAAGTTGGTGGTATGGCCAACAGAATGATGGTGGCCATGGGAACATTTGGCCATATAGTGGTGGTGTGGTCAATGAAATGATGGTGGCCATGGGGAACGTTGTCCATGGGGTGATGGTGTGGCCAACGAGATGGTGGCCATGCGGAATGCTGAACACAGGTTGGTGACAATGGCCAATGGAATGATGGTGGCCATGGGGAATGTTGACCATAAGTTGGTAATGGCCAATGGAATGATGGTGGCCATGGAGAACGCTGGCCATGGGGTGGTAGTGTGGAACATGGGATGGTGGCCATAGAGAATGTTGACCATAAGGTGGTAATGACCAATGGAATGATGGTGGCCATGGGGAATGTTGGCCATAGGGTGGTGGTGTGGCCAATGGGATGGTGGCCATGGGGAATATTGGCTATAAGTTGGTGGTGTGACCAATGGAATAATGGTGGCCATGGGGAATGTTGACCGTGGGGTGGTGGTGTGGCCAGTGGGATGTTGGGCATGGGGAATGTTGACCACAGGGTAGTGGTGTGGCCAATGGGATGGTGGCCATAGGGTGGTGGTGTGGAGAATGGGATGGTAGCCATGGGGAATGTTGACCATAAGGTAGTAATGGCCAGTGGAATGATGGTGGCCATGGGAAATGTTGGCCACAGGGTAGTGGTGAGGTGAATGGGATGGTGGCCATGGGGAATGTTGGCCATAGGGTAGTGGTGTGGCCAATGGGATGGTGGCCATGGGGTGGTGGTGTGGACAATGGGATGGTGGCAATGGGGAATATTGGCTATAAGTTGGTGGTGTGACCAATGGAATGATGGTGGCCATGGGAAATGTTGACCATAAGCTGATAATGGCCAATGGAATGATGGTGGCCATGGGGAATGTTGACCACAGGGTAGTGGTGTGGCCAATGGGATGGTGGCCATAGGGTGGTGGTGTGGAGAATGGGATGGTAGCCATGGGGAATGTTGACCATAAGGTAGTAATGGCCAATGGAATGATGGTGGCCATGGGAAATGTTGACCATATGGTAGTAATGGCCAATGGAATGATGGTGGCCATGGGAAATGTTGGCCACAGGGTAGTGGTGTGGCCAGTGGGATGGTGGCCACAGGGTGGTGGTGTGGACAATGGCATGGTGGCAATGGGGAATACTGGCTATAAGTTGGTGGTGTGACCAATGGAATAATGGTGGCCATGGGGAATGTTGACCGTGGGGTGGTGGTGTGACCAATGGAATGATGGTGGTCATGGGGAATGTTGGCCATAGGGTGGTGGTGTGGCCAGTGGGATGGCGATGGCCATCAGGACAGTTGGCCACGGGGTGGTGGTGGCCAGAGATGGTGATGGGGAAAGCCAGGGCCCCGCGGTGACGTGGGGATGTTGGTGGCAGGAACTGCATCGGGCAGAGCTTCGCCATGGCCGAGCTGAAGGTGGTGGCCGCGCTGACCCTCGCACGCTTCAACATCAGGCCAGACCCGGCGAGGCCGGTGCGCCGCAGGACTGAGCTGATCCTTCGTGCTGAGGACGGGCTCTGGCTGCAGCTGGAGCCGCTGTCCGGGATGCCCTGAGGAGGGGGGATGTGGGGACAGTGCTAATAAATGGTGGCACAGCCGGGACGGCGTGGTGGTGGTGATGTGGGGCGGAGGGGGGGAGGCCCCTGGGTGGTGGGGACGGTGGGGCACAGGGCACAAGGTGGGGAGGTCAGTGGGGCACAGGGGACATGTGGGTCAGGACGGGACGTGGTGAGGGGTCAGAGGTCAGGGGGTGGAGCATGAGGGCAGCCCTCCGGCCCTACAGCATCACCAGAGTGCATAGCAACCAGTGGGCGGGGTTACGGTATCATAGCAACCAGTGGGAGGGTCAATGGTATCATAGCAACGAGTGGGAGGAGCTACAGTAGCATAGCAACCAGTGGGCGGGGTTATGGGACCATAGCAACGAGTGGGCGGGGTTATTGTAGCATAGCAACCAATGGGCGGGGTTACAGTAGCATAGCAACCAATGGGCGGGGCTACGGTACCATAGCAACGAATGGGCGGGGCTACATTACCATAGCAACGAGTGGGCGGGGTTTTCGTAGCATAGCAACCAGTAGGCGGGGTTATGTGACCATAGCAACGAGTGGGCGGGACCACGGTATCATAGCAACGAATGGGCGGTGCTACAGTAGCATAGCAACCAGTGGGCGGGGCTACGGTACCATAGCAACGAGTGGGCGGGGTTATATTACCATAGCAACGAGTGGGCGGGGCAACTGCATGCTTAGCAGCGATTGGGCGAGGTCGGGGCTGAATGGGCGTGGCCAAAGGGCGGGGAGGTGTCTTCCGGTCACGTGAGGGAGGGGAGGCGGAAGCCGCCCTGTGGCGGCGTCATGGCGGCCCCGTCCGGTGAGTGGAGGCCGCGGGCGGCGATGGGGGCAGCGGGGCGGGGGGACCCCGGGATGCCGGCCCTCACCGACCCGATGCCCTCAGAGACGGAGCGGCTGCTGAGCCGTGCGCCCGGCTATGGAGCGACGGAGGCTCCGGCGGTGGAGGAAAAAGAGGAGGAGGAGGAGCTGCGGCGCCGCCTGAAGTATTTCTTCATGAGCCCCTGCGATAAGTACCGCGCGCGGGGGCGGCGGCCCGTGAAGCTTGGGCTGCAGCTGGCCAAAATCCTGCTGGTCACCGTGCAGGTGGGGCCGGGGAGCGTTTTGGGGGCGGTCTGGGGCTTCGGGAGGCGGAGGGGGCGGTGGGAATGGCGCTGGGGGGGACCGGAGGAGGGCGGTGGGAGGAGGGGGAAGGGCTGGGGGCGCCGAGGAGGGGGCAGCGGTCGTAGGAATGCTGGAGGGGGAGCTGTGGGGTTTGGGGGCACTGGGGGAGAGCGGGTGTGGGGTGTCAGGGCTGTGGAGAGGGGACACTGAGGGGTAACGGGCACTGGGACGTGGGGAGGGAGAGCTGTGGGGGCTGGGGGTAGGAAGGAAGAGACAGCAGGCATTGGGACTCTGAGGAGTCCTGGGGGCTTGGAGGTGGTAAGAATGGGACACTGAGGAGTCAGGAGGCATTGAGACATGAGGAGGGATAGCTCTGGGGCTTGGGGATAGCAAGAAGGGGACACTGAGGGGACAGAAGGCATTGGGGCATGGGGAGAGATGCTGTGGGGATTGGGGATAGGAAGGATGGCACAGCAGGCATTGGGATTCTGAGGAGTCCTGGTGGCTTGGGGATGGCAAGAAGGGGACACTGAGGGGACAGAAGGCATTGGGACATGGGGAGAGATCCTGTGGGGCTTGGGCGTAGCAGGCATTGGATTCTGAGGAGTCCTGGGGGCTTGGGGACACCATGGCGGCACCAAGAAGGGGAAACTGAGGGGACAGTGGGCACTGGGACATGGGGAGAGGTGCTCTAGGGATTGGGGACAACAGGGAAGGGACAGCAGGCAATGGGATACTAAGGAGTCCTGGCGGCTTGGGGGTGGTGAGAATGGGACACTGAGAAGTCAGAAGGCATTGAGACATTGGGGAGGGATAGCTCTGGGGCTTGGGGATAGCAAGAAGGGGACATTGAGGGGACAGGAGGCACTGGGACATGGGGAGGGATAGCTCTGGGGATTGGGGGTAGCAGGGAAGGCACAGCAGGGACTGGGACTCCGAGGAGTCCTGGTGGCACCAAAAAAGGGATATTGAAGGGACAGAAGGCATTGGGATACTGGAGTGAGGTGGCCCTGAGACTTGGGAGCACTACTGGATACTGGGGAGTCCTGGGGACAGTGATGGGGATGCCATGGAGGGGGAGATGAATGCTGGGACACTGAAGACAAGGAGGCTTGGGGACACTGAGGAGGGGACAGTGAAAGACAGTGGGCATGGGGACACCAGGGGAGAGATATAGGAATGTTCTGGGGCATGGGGACACCACAGGGGGGCCCTGGGAAAGGAGACACCAGGGGACTGTGAGTATGGGGACACCAAGGGACTGTGGGCACAAAGGGAAGGGAAGGGGTCACTTTAGTGATGTGTAGAGCCCTGAGCACAGAGTGAGGAGACGTGGGGGTGACAGGGCACAGGAGGGGACCCCTGAGGTGGGCATTGGGCGTGGGGATGTAGAAGGGGACACCCAACGAGATGTGGGATGTGCTGGGCCCTTTTAGGCAGTCTGAGCATCCCTGGAGTGACTGGGATGCTGGAAAGGAGAGGGCTTGAGTGTCTGGGGACACTTGGGTTGCCCCGAGAAAGAAAGGTAGAAAGAAACCTGCCTCCCCTGTGGGGGTAGCAGAGAAAAACAGCTGGAGTCAGCAGGTTGTAGTCATGAGGAAAGAAAAAGCTGGCATGTGAGGGCTGCCTGTGTCACCCGGAGCAACCCCGTCCTGTCCCCACCCCTCGTGCTAACGAGCAGCCTCTTGTGTTGATCAACAGAAGTGCAATCGTCACACCAGGTAATTAGTGGCGTGGGAAAAGGTTTAGAGTGTGTGGGCAGGGAAAATGCCGGTGGAGAGGTGGGAAATCAGTGCTCCCTCTGCTGTTGTGTGTCTGGGATGGCACCGAGGGACACGTGCGGGTCCCCATGGAGGTGGTTCTCCCCACTGTGCTTGACTGCAGGAAATCAGTAGCGTTAAGTGTTGGCTTAAGAGGTTTTGGGTGGAAAACAGGTAGAGAACAGGAGACAGAGAGCAGCTCCTTGTCTTCTCAGGATCCCCAAGCAGAGGGTGATGGCGTTTTCTTTCCTTTGGGGTGGCGTGGCTGCGTTTTGGGTCCATTTTACAGAGCTGCTGGGTACGGGATTTAATCCTGGTCCCTTTATCTGTCAGCTCATCCTCTTTGGGCTCAGCAACCAGATGGTGGTGACCTTCAAGGAGGAGAACACCATCGCCTTCAAGCACCTCTTCCTGAAGGACTACGTGGACGGCGCCGACGACTCCTATGCTGTCTACACCCAACACGACCTCTATGACCGCGTGTTTTATGCTGTGGACAAGGTGAGAGCTGTGAGAAAACAAAGCTATGGAGAAGTGAAAATGCTTGGGAATGCATCCAGCTCCTGAGAACATCTCCTTTCCCCAGTACTTGGCCATTCCCAACGAGACCATCGGTCGCTACGCCTACGTGCGAGGGCAGAGTGGAGGCAACCAGTCGGCCCTCATGCTGTGCCAGCAGTACTATCGCAGAGGGCGCATTGATCCAGCCAATGACACCTTCAACATCGACCCCAAGATTGTCACAGGTTGGTTTTAGGGCCGGCAGGGCTGAGCTCATCCATCCTACAGCCACCTTTGGGTCTTGGGAGGGATTTGTGGCCACCGTGGCTTTTTGTTTGTTTGGTGGTGTTTTTTTTTTTGCTACTCGCTATGGATTTGAGAAGGATTGAGGGGTCTCTTGGGGTCTTTGGGCTTCCCTGAAGGTGTTTCTCCCTCCCTGCAGACTGCCTGGGAGTGGACCCCGAGGACTCACATCCTCTGCCCCCAGAGCTGGACCGCAGCTACAAGAACTTCACCTTCAAATTTCACAAGTAATGGCCGTTGCCTTCCCTGCAGCATTCAGGTGCTGAGCACATGCCTGACCTGTGGGCTTCCTCGTGCTTTGAGCCTCAGGCTCGCTGCCAGGATGGAAAACCACTTGCTAGTTTTAAAACGCCCGTGGGAGAGAAACAAATCTACCCTTGGGCTGAGGGAGATGTGAAACCAGTGTGATTGCACAAGAAGCAGCTGCTTTCCGGCCCTGTCTCCATTGGTGTTGGCTGCAGAGCTGGCCCCAAGGCTCTGTTTCTACCCTGCAATACTCACATTGAGGGTTGTTTCCTTCCCTCAAAACTGCACTGGTTTTGGCCGTGTTTTGGTGGCCTGGGGGCAGGTTTTCAGCACAATCAGGTTGTTGTTTCAGCTCAATGTGCTGTTGTTGGTGCTGGACAGAGGGATACCAGTGCTGCTGGTGCTGAGAGATGCAGCATAGCTCCCCCCAAAGCCCAATCCACTGTTGCTGGGGCTGTGGTTTGGCCTTCCAGTGCCTTTTCCTGTGGCTAAGCACAGTCCCAAAGCACATGTTTCCCCACTGCTGTGGTTGTTTGACTCATTGCTGCCTTTTGCGGGTTGGTGCAGGGCTGTGTTGCACTCTGGACTTGCCCCAGGAGGGGTCTTAATGAACATCCCCCTCCCACAGGCTCATCAACGTCACCATCCAATTCAAGCTGAAAGCCATCAACATCCAGACCATCATCAACAACGAAATCCCAGACTGCTACACCTTCACCATCACCGTGAGTGCACACCACGAGCAGGGATGGCTCAGGGTGGGGGGTGTCCCTTGTGGTCGTGGCACGAGGAGCTGCCATCTGGTTTCACAAGCAACGCCCTGCTTCCAGATCACGTTTGACAACAAGGCACACAGCGGCCGGGTGAAAATCCACCTCAACAACCGGGCTGACATCAAGGAGTGCAAAGGCCACAGCGTCTTTGGCCGAGGTAGGAGCTGTGTTGGTGTGGTGACAGAGGTGGCATCTGTCCCCAGAGGGCACAGTGTGCTGGATGGGAGTGCTGCTGGTGCCACTATTTAATGTCACTGTGCCTCCTGGAGGTGACAACTCCTTCCGGCTCTTCTTTGACGTTGTCGTGATCGTCGTCTGCTCGCTCTCCTTCATCCTCTGTGCCCGTTCCATCATCAGGGGCCTGATGCTGCAGCACGTGAGTGAGGGGGAGAAGCAGCACTCATGCTAACTACTGTCCCTGTTAGAGCTCATGGGGTTGAACTGCCACCAAGTTGGGTTTTTTCAGCATTCTGGCTGTGTTGCGGTGTCTCAGGATGCCTTTTTAGCATGGGGATGCTCAAATAAAGCCACAGCTCCTATCTGGATTTAGGAAAAATGTGTGTGTGGTCAGGCATTGGCACGGGCTGCCCAGGGAGGTGGTGGAGTCACCATCTCTGGAGGGGTGGCACTGAGGAACGTGGCTTAGTGGGCATAGCAGGGGTGGGTTGGGGTTGGACTTGATAATCTTGGAGGACTTCTCCAGCCTTAATGATCCCATGGATACCGAGGGATGGGCAGAACTCAGCCCCATGCATTCAGGACCCCTTTTTCTCCTCCCTACACAGGAATTCAGTCAGTTCTTCCAGCGCCGCTACAACCAGAGCGTGTGCCTGTCAGACAGAATGGAGTTCCTCAATGGCTGGTACATCCTGCTGGTCATCAGCGATGTCCTCACCGTGCTGGGAACCATCATGAAGATCGGCATTGAGTCCAAGGTAGGGGGGCATGCAGACCCTGAGTGTGTTTTGGCCGTTGGTGTGGATGTCCCCCTGTTCAGGGGAGGCTCTGCTGGGCTCTGGCAGCACGCTGCGCTCCTGATGTGAGCAGAGATGGTGATTGCTCCTCCTGGGGGGTCCTGGCCCAGGTGGGACCCCCTACTCTCCTTTTCCTTTTGGTTCAGGCCTGCATCACCTCTGTCCCCACAGAACTTTGCTGATTACGACGTCTGCAGCATCCTCCTGGGCACCTCCACGCTGCTGGTCTGGGTCGGGGTCATTCGCTACCTCACCTTCTTCCAAAAGTACAACGTGAGTGGCTTTGGGGAGGTGATCTGTCACCTGAGGGGAACGTTTCCAAGGCTGGCCGTGAGCACAGAGACAACTGGTGGAACTTGGGCCCATCCTATGGCTGCTGTGCGTGTCCCCTGTGCTCTGCTGGGCACCGTGGGGTCACACAGGATGCTTAACCACCTGTCCTTGCCGCCCCCCTCTGTGGGAGCTGTCCCCATTCACTCACCTCATGGGTCCCCTTCCCCTCTCCTGTCTGATTGCCACGAAGGATGGAGGTTAACCCTGACAGCTTTTTGGCCACCAGATCCTCATCGTCACGCTGAGGGTGGCCCTCCCTAACGTCATCCGCTTCTGCTGCTGCGTGGCTGTCATCTACCTGGGCTACTGCTTCTGTGGATGGATCGTGCTGGGACCATACCATGTCAAGGTGCCACTCTGAGCTCCTCTGTGATAAGGTTGGGGGGGCTTCCCCCACCTCTGGGCTTTCTTCCCACCTCGGGGCGATCCCCTGCTCTGATTTAGGGGGAGGTGGGCCCTACTTTAGGGGCTGGTGGGTTAGACGAGGCTCCTTTTGGGGTGATCTGCAGGGTATTGAGGAGCAGTGGCTTTTTGGGAGCCTTAAGCCTGACAGTGGAAGGGACAGGAGGTGACACGGCTGCTTTGTCCCATCCCAGTTCCGCTCCCTTTCCATGGTGTCTGAATGCCTCTTCTCTCTCATCAACGGGGACGACATGTTCATCACCTTCGCCGAGATGCAGCAGAACAGTTACCTGGTGTGGCTCTTCAGCCAGATCTACCTGTACACCTTCATCAGCCTCTTCATCTACATGGTCCTCAGCCTCTTCATCGCCCTCATCACCGGATCCTACGAGACCATCAAGGTGAGACTGCACCCCAGTGCTTGAGCCGAGATTCCCAGCTCTTCTTAAAGGGGCTGCAGTGGGGCAGAGTCCCCCCCTTGGTGCAGCTGAAGTGCTCTCTTTTCCCCATTCTGTCTCCGCAGCACCAATGTGAGGGTGAAACACCCATGTCCCAGCTCCACGCCTACATTGCAGAGTGCAAGGACAGCCCCAAGTCGGGCAAGTACCGTCGTGACAGCGCCTCGACCTGCTCTGTATTCTGCTGCTGTGAACGGTGAGTGTGATCCTATTACCCATCCCAATCCCCCCCGCATGCTGGGAGAGGAGAATTTACAGCCATTCTTTGCTGCTGGCCGTTCTTGTGCACAGCCAGTGCCACATGGATTGTGATTTCCAGCCTTGTTGGGCTGCGTCGTGGTGCCAACATCCATCTTGCAGTCCCCAAAATGTCCTTGGGGACCCCTGACTGTGCTTGTGGCCATTGGTGCTGTTCTGTTGTCCATTGTTTGCCTCGTGGCTCTCTGCCACCTTCAGCTGTCTCTGTTTGAAGCTTGCTTTCCAAATTCATCAGATTTCACCCCTGCTGTCTCCCTGCAGGGCTCCTCTGCAGGACAACACGATGCTGGTGAACTGAGGGAGGATCCCAGCACTCGAGGTGCCCCATGCTCCTGCTGCCTGCACACCCTCTAATTTATTTTATCGTCTGCTTTTAATGACTCGGGGTTCAGCACCGGCCCCAAAGGAGCAAGAAGAGATGGACACCCCCCAGCCAATGGGGTGCACAGATGGATGCCTGTCCTGTTGTTTTTTTTTTTTCCCCTCGATGGACGCTGTGCCTCTATGCTCCGAATGCTGAACTACAGCCTGGCAGCAACTCGGGAGCTGAGCTGCAGCCCCTCAGCTGTATTTTGGGGGCTTTGGGAGCTCAGCCCTGCTTCTGTTGCACCGAGGACTTGGCTGATGCTTCATCCTGAAGCCCTGCAGCCCCTCAGCTGTGTCCTGGACTCATCCCTGCCCTCGCTACCCAGTCCAGTTGCCATTGGACCACATCCTGAACTTGCCATGTCCTAGCCCTGCAGTGCCCTGGGGACACATCTTGGCCTTTGTCCTGCAGCTCCACAGCCCCTTGGCTGCCCTCAAGACTTATCCTCACCCTTACCCTGCAGCCCAGCTTCCTGTTGGCTGAATCAGGGATGTGTCTGGGGCTTTACCACCGAGCCCTGCAGCCTCTCAGCCACTTTCAGCCCCTTGGAAATAAGTACAGAGACAAGCCCTGAGCCAGCTGCTGCCATCAGGTTCCCCTTTGGGCCCACAGGCAGGAGCCCAGAGCCCCTTTGGCTGCACTGGGGTGGTATCCCTCTCTCCATCCCCCATCCCCGCAACCGTTTTAGGGGCTGTTGAGACACAAAGGGCTGCAGAAATGTGTCTTATGCCTCTGTCCCATCCCAACCACAGGCCCGGGAGTCAGGCCGTGTCCTCCTGCCCTCCCTGGAGGTTGTGCTGTTGGCACAGGGCTGCGTGTTTACAGCCTAAGCTGAGGGAAGCTTTTTGTCCTTGGGGGAGAGGAAGGGGGAGGGGAAGGCAGCTGCTCTGTGCTGGAGTGCAGCCAACAGCTGCTGGTTCCAGGCACGGCTTTTGTGCTGAGAAAGGCTGTGAAATCGCTGCAGATGCCGTGGGGAAACTTGTGTTCATTTGTGGAGCAAGTTGTGGCTGTTCTCAGCCTGTGGGGGGGGGGGAATAAAGCAGCTGAGGGGAAACGGTGCTTCTGTGCTCTGTGGGGCTCAGCCCCAGCACGTGGAGGAGGGGGTCGTTGGGACTGGGGGGGTGGTCCTGGGAAGGGGAGGGGAGGTCTTGGGGGCTGTGCTGTCACGTGGGAGGGATGGGACCCTGGGGACGGGGTGCCCTTGGGGGGGTGCTGTCACCTCAGGGTGCCCTCAGCATGAGGTGTCAGCCCTATGGGTTCATCTTGGGGTGCCCCCTTGGTTTCCCCCCTCCCCGCATTATTTTTAAGCCCCTCCTCAGCGTTCTGGGCCAGGCGCCGCCCTTCATTGCCACTCCCAAGATGGCGCCAGGGATGAAGGCACGTGTGTGGGCGCGCCGTGATGACGTTGCAAAACAAACGCCACACTCAAAATGGCGGCCGCTCGGTTTACCTCCCTCAGTCGACCTTCCGAAGATGGCGGCGTCGCCAGGATGCTCTCCGTCCCCCTCTTCCGCTGACTTCATCACAGAGAGACGACGGGAGGAGGTTTTAAAGGGACCATGACCTCCCCTGGCCGCTGCCGAGGCCGGAGCGGGGTGGGAAGCAATTGGTGAGGGCGGGGCGGGGGCAGGAGCGCTCCGAGGAGAGGGTCTGTGCCGTGGGGGGG